TCATTACTGTATCTAAAATATTTTATTATGATTTCATTCTCTTGTAGTTCTATTATTTGCTGTGCATATTTTCAAGTCAGCACCAATTTCACAATATATCTATACATATGTTTCTTTTTCATATTTGAAAATGTATCGCAGACACATGATTATTTATTATTTACCTTATGAGAATACAAATATATGCACATTTTCATATATTATATATTGATAATATTTATATAATTTTTATTGATGTGAGATCATTACAGTGAGAATTTAAGTTAATAAATATCCGTATCAAATATCATCTGTTTCTGTATCACTCTTATTAAGAATCAACATTTAAGTCATACAAGAGGTAATTCTTTAATTATGTTACATGGATCGATAAGGTCCTTGCATTTTTAAAAATTGAATTACTAAGGAAGGTCCTCCTGCAACTATTTCTGGTGGTATTTGAGAAAGTGGACAATTTTCAATTGACATAATACTGAGATTTGTGCATAAAGCTAATTCAAATGGTAAATTATGCAAGTTTGCATTATCATTTATATAAAGTGAATCTAAATTTTCTAGTGTACCAATCTCTTCAGGTAAACAGTTAAGATTATTCTCTCCAACACTCAAATATGTTAAATTTGTTAAATGACCAATTGCTCTTGGCAAAAAAGTCACCTGGTTAGATTGCAAAATTAATTTCTGTAAATCCTTTAAGAAACCAATTTCATTAGGTAAAGATTCAATTTTATTCTCTTCAAGATCTAAGACTCTGAGTTTACGTAAATTGGCTATGGTGGCAGGAATACGTTTCAATAAATTATTAGAAAGTATTAAGATTTCTAAACTTTGAAGGCATTGAATGTCATCAGGAATTTTTGTAAGTTGATTTGTACCCAAATTTAATTCAACCATATTGACCCATGTACCAATATCTAATGGTAAAGCAGTTAATTGATTTTCTTTCATATTTAACTTTGTCAGATTCTTTGCTCTAGAGAAAATACCATATGGTATTTTATCTATTTTATTATGTTCAAGATTGATGGAATAAACATTTGTAAACTGAGCTGGTCCCCCTGACGGATATGCAGAAAAAGCATTCCTAGACAATGTAATTGTTGTCAAGTCAGAGAGGCTTGCAAGTAGTCCATCTGGTAATTGGGATACTTGGTTTCCTTCCACACTAAATTCATCCATTAATTTACAATTTGCCAAAGATTGTGGGATACTAGTTAATCTATTGTATCTAAGTCCTAATCTCGTTAATAAGATTAAATTTCCAATTGTGTCTGGAATATCCAAAAGCTCATTGTGCTGTAAATCAAGTGTAGACAATTGGACACAATTTCCAATTTCTTCAGGTAAATGCTCCAGATGATTATGAGAAACATCAAATGTTATTAAATTGACTAATTTGCCAATACCAGCAGGAAGTTCTCTGATTTTATTTTCTCTTAAACTCAGCATTGTTAAATTTGTTAAATTTCGTATGTTATCACTTACATATCGGACTCGATTAAAGCGTAGAAACAAGGTTGTGAGATTCGTCAATTTATACACAACGTCGGGTATTTCACTCAGCTTGTTATGCCTTAAATCAAGAACTCTTAAGGACTTCAAATTCTCTAATGTATTTGGTAAACTTGTTAAAGAATTTTCACTTAAAGCCAATGTTTCCAAATTTGCGAGGCAACCGATTTCCGGCGGTAATGTTACGAGTTTATTACCATACAGATAAAACTCGACTAAGTGCGTCAAGTCTCGTACCGTGCTCGGTAGATTAGTAATGCTAGATTTACTTAAATCCAGCCGCTTCACGCATTCTTCTCTACATCTTGTAAATTCTTTAGAAACATCTAAATCTGCTTGTATCGGTTTCCCTTTCTTTGTAGTCGGCTTCGGTTTATTCGACTCGGGATGTTTGACAGTTACTGTTTTTTTAGTATCGGGTCCTGCTATAGATGCAGAGGATAATTTTTTTTCCTTTGTGTGCTCTTTATTATCCCGCAGGACATCTACGTCCTCAGGCATGTCGCCGGCTGTACAGGTGGTTAAACCACAGCCTTCCAAATATTCAGGAATATCCTGTTCCTTCATGTAAAAGGTCGGAAGACTGTCTTCGAGGTCCTCACGGTCCCTCTTTACCTCGGACAAACACACTGTTGAAATGTTACCCACACCTGTCCAATATTTATTCAACTCTTTCATAACCTAATCACTATCGTAACTACGATTATTTTCTATGTATCTTCTCGTATTTCTACGACATCATACACTTTTTAGAGATTTCGTACTTTACAAGTATTGACATATCGATGTCATCCACTGCAAGTAGCGCAAACGCGAAACGGCTGATAGAGGACTAGGAGAACAACGAATGCCCAGTACCGTTCCAAAAATCAACTAAATATTCTCTTTCAATATATAACATATTATAAATCTTTCTTTCGAAATATATCCCCTCCTTGAATATATTTATAACATATAGATATATGTACATCTAGAGTTACTTAAATGCTATTAAATAAAAATTATAAATGTTCTGTTTCTCTAATACCACACAGTAGTAAACTATGTAAAGATAGCTTAAGTTTTATCAAATCATGATGCATTTTTGAACACGAAATTTCAAAAAACGTATAAAATTCCAATTCAAATATTTTTAAAGAATTGTACAAAGTTGGATAAGTAAACGGTGAATCTGATATGAGGCATAGATAATTAGTAGAAAAAAAATGTTTGATCCCGAGATATTACGAAAAATTTTGGATTCATCTATAAAAATAGATAAAATTCGTTTGTCATATGTGACTCGAATTTTTCCAGAATTCAAAGATACGTCGTGTATTATTTTATATAAAGAAGTATGTTGTACAGTAGTTGTATTTTTTAAGAATCAGTCATTTTATTAATATATTTCTTCGTTATTTTAGCACCTTCCCGAACCTATGAACGATAGTCCAAAATGTATCGATAATAATGAAACAAATCGTAAGTTTTTTATGCAATTAAATTCATTTTTTGCGTTATATAAATGTTTAAATTTTAGAATTTGACCTCACGGGTTCACCTTTAAAATACTCGTTTGGAGAAGAATTTAATTTTGAAGATAGCATAATTTTGGTAAAGCAAAATTGGTACAAAGGGGAAGAGAAATACTTATTTTAGTAATGCATTAAATGCATGCCTTGAATTTATAAATGATTCTTTTCCACCTATATTTGCACTTTGTGATGGTAAAGATAATAAAACAAGCAGATTATTGGGTACAAGTATTGAAGGAGAATGGTTTTCTACAATAGAAATTTGTTCAGCTGGAACTGAAAAATTTGATATCATTAAAAAATCTTCTGACTTTTTTCAACAACATTTGGAACTTTCACATGCATGTGAACATGATGTAGGTAGTATGTTTCTTTAATAGCGATGTATGTATATATTTATAACAGTTTTATTTGTATATCTAGATTAATATCTCTGCATTCTCTACTTTTGATTTATTTGGAACAAGAGAAGAAATGATTAATTGGGATCATAATGTCAAAAGTAATTTTGAGGGGAGTCTTAGTGTAGAAGTAAATACTTGTAGTTTATCATTACATCCACCCACAAGGGCATCCAAAAATAACTTGGTAAAATTAATTGTTTATAATAAATAATACATGCTTTTCTTAAATATTTTATACTTTACTTAGGTTGCTCAAGTTGCTACAAATTCAAATAGTAGTCCTTTGAAAGAATTATGGAAACAGTTACTATTGTTAAATCAGTACTTAAATATAATAGAAGATTATACAGAGAATAAAAATTCTCAATATACTGTAACACCTTTAGAATTTCCGTGTAATTTCATAAGTCCATATAAAGAGGTATTTTAAGAATTTGATATTCAAAATGTGTACATACTACTTTAAAGTTTTAATGACATTTTAATGGTTGTTTAAAATAGGATCATGATACAATATTGAAAAATATAAATTTACTGTTGAATGGAGATTATAGTTTTAGATATCCCAATGGTACTGAAGGGCAGAAAATTAATTTTTTAAATGAAGAAAATTTAGAAAATGATGTAAACATTCAACAAAGTGTACAGAGTCTTCCATTTAGATGTAATTTAGATTTTACAGACTTTTTATGGGATTTACTAATATGTAAGTATACTTGATGTAATATATGTATTTGTACATGTGTAAAATAATATTAATACTTGTAGTGAATTCAAATTATCTTGAGATGACAAAATGCATTTATACAGTACTTGAAGAAACTATAGTAAATGCATGTTTGCCACAGGTATGACACAAATATTTAAGAAAAGAATTAATACTATTTTGTATTAAGTATTCCTAAAGAAAATTTTTTAATCATGCAATTAATACACAGGTCAATTATACTAATTCAACAAGATTTGCCAAGATTATTATCAATCCACATCAGCAAACAATAATTTCACATTTATTGTTAGGTAGTTTACCACTAGAATACATCATAGATATGGGTTTTGAAAAATTATGCAAAGATTATCTATATATTTTAAGAAATGCAAGATTTGGTGAAGTGCATGATATTCAACAACAATTAAAAAATATATCTTGCAATGAATTTTCAGTTGATAGCTATAGGTATGCACAATAAAGATATTTAATTCTGTTATTATATGAATCTATATATATATATATATATAACTTTCTTTAAATAATGTTTTCAGGAAAAGATTGATATGTTTGGCACAAATTCATGTATGCTTGGAATTCATGTTACTGTTACAAAATAATTTAGAATGTCCAAGTGATGATCTAAGAACTTTATTTAGTTGTACTTTTAGACAATATGTTGGCGAAAAATCACCTATAAAGTCATATCACGATTTACATCAATGCAGAATTTACACTTTATCTGCACCTCTTCCTGTTCCAGTAGTTAATAACTTATATACTAAGTAAGTTTAATCATTTTCAAAAAAGTAATGTTCTATTATTGCTACAGCCAGATGCTATTTTCAGAATTCCGTGTGTACGAAGAATTTCACTTTCATCCGAATCTAAATTATCTAAATTAACAACAATTAGGTATTATAGCCAGTTACCCATATTTCCAACAAGTATATATCCATTAGGTAAAAGCTTTATATATTAGAAGTATAATGGATATTCATGCGCTTTTGATACGAAATTTTTTGTAACGTTTTTTTCTAGACGATTCAACTGCAGTGGATGAGGCATACTATGTTACAAGTGCAATTTGCTCATATAAATTTAATTCACAATTAATAAAATAAAAATTATAAAAGCATTCTTCAAATACATTAAATGTATTCGGTGTATAAATATAACTAGATTTATGAGTGTTTGTACTCTCAGTCATTGATAATGTACACTCCAATTTACTATTAAACATTACTTTCACTGACCTAAACCTCGTTAAATATATATAATAATATGAATTATATTTTTAATTCAAACTACACTTCTCAATGTACAAATATATATGCAAAGTATGTTATATACGTTAAAATATATGGTCAAACTTCGTATGAACTTTATAGTGAACATTAAAAAGATACATATTGTTACATACAATGTAAATTTTCTATTTTGTAGAAATAGACCGTTTTATGTTTCAAACCCATTTAACATACTTTGGTTGCCTTTTTGAGTATCAGTACTGTTAATAATAAAATATTATATCAACTCTAAGCCATTAATTAAAGCATGGCTTTTGCATGCAATAAGTACATAACATAAACAATTTTAATACTGAGAAGTTTCTACATCATCTACTCCAGAAACACTAGCTTGTTCAAGTACTTCAAGAAGCTTCTGCATTTCCATAGAATCCGATGAATTGTCAAGCGTTCTTTCAAGCGCTCGTACATATGACATACACGTACGTCCTTCATGGTCTAAATTTTGGGGATTTGCTTTATGCTGTAATAATTCAATAATATACAAGTACTTAATCTTTATAATATGTATATATCATAATTTGTTAAGAGTGAATACACACCCATATTAGAAGTTGTGCCATAGCTAAATTTCCTGTGGCACAAGCCAAATGCAAAGGTGTTCTTAAATCTTCCATACTGACAGGCATATTAATATCTTCATAACTACATCTGGCTAAGCACAATGTAAATGCTCTCATATCGCCCCTACATTACATTTAACACAACAAGTTATCTAACAATTATTTATACCAATACAACTCATTCGAAGTCTGAGAATATTTACCGGCAAACCGAATCAATAAGTAGCTTTCCTAAAGAAATGTTCGGATTAATTGGTGGTAAAAAGATTTTATCTTCATATTTCCATCTGATCCACTGCTCTTTCTCTTCTCTAGGAGAATCTGAATTTGGTTTCTGTTTCCCGTTTAGACAATATTCCCAAACACTATTTGCTATATCATTACCAAGGGCTAACATTACACTTAACTGACCTGCGCTAAAATTAATGTCAAGGCTATTTTATGTTGCAGTATATACGTGCATAGCTAACATGCAATACTAAAAATATAATTATTGACTTATATAATCACATGTTCAAGAACAAATCATTTATTAGTAACATTATTATTTTTACTATATTCATTATTACATAGATCGGAAAATTGTTACGATAAAACAAGTAATTATCGCACTTACGACCAATCGTCCAAGTCCAATGATCTAACTTTCGATATGTGTGAACCTAAATTTCTGTGTATTCCTGAGCATTCGATACACATTAATACACCCAAATTTAAACTAGCCCAATCTGGATCTAGAATTTAATTATATATAAAATATCTATCGAAAGTAAAATCAAAAGTTTGTTTAATTAAATTTAAACACTTATTACTTACTAGGTGCTCCACAATCTACACAAGCATCATTTCCTGATACCTTGTTCTTTATACAATGCATTTTGAAGGCATCAGTTTCGTTCTTTTTGTCACCATCACTATTTTGTAAACTTGATAATATTTGTTGTTCTATTGCAGAGATCCAGCTATCTCTGTCTTCAGCATTCTGTGCTTCAAAATGCCATGTCTTATTTTCTAATGAGATGATAGAGAATTCAAAGCTATCTTCTGTAAAATCAAAGTATAATTAAAATTAATTTGATGAAATACAATGTTGGAGATATATTAATCTAAATCATTGATTATGCACCCTGAGCATTGGATGATTTAGAACCTTTAGGCGTTTTTCCAGGCACTTTTACAGTTACATATTGTAACAATATTTCTTTACCATTTGTATCATTCATATAATCCTGAAAAACGAATAAATGCGCATGCATCCTTTACACACATTACTTAATTTACAATATCATAGAAGCATTTAATTACGTGATAATTACATGCAAGCTGGAATGATAAGTTAAACGACCATCTTCTAGTAATGTAACATATTTCTTTTTCCATTCTTTTAAAGATTTACTACTGCGTTTAAATAAATATCCTTGTTTTACAGGTATTTCCCTGCCTACACCCATTTCACCCATATTGTACTTTTCTTTTTTTGATGGGGTAAATATGTTAGACTTCCTTCTAAATTTCCTGTTACATATAAGTACAGTAAGTTTAATTGTTTCTTTTTTTTTTTTATTAAGAAACTGATGTTTCTATAAAAATTGAACCTGATAGTTGTTGGAGTTAAGATTGAAGATCTGATATCTGCATGCTGATTCTGCACATTTTGAAAATTATCACTTATTGTTGCAGAATCATTTTGAGTAGAGCTGTTATGAAGTGATCTAGAATCTTCCTCTTTATCAGATGTCTGTAGAAAAATAATTTATTTACAAACCTTTCAGTGTAATATATTCAAGAAAGACAATAACTTACATTTAATTTTGATGAATTTGTTGCTTCCATTTCTTTGGTTAGAAGCTGTGCATTTTTGGCAATCATTGGAACAGGATACTTTGTTTCATTATCTACTGCTTGTTGCCCATTACATCGATAATGTTTTGCAGATATATGTTGTATAATTTTTTGACAGACTGTAATATTCAGAATACTCTCAAAATAATCATCAAAGTCACTGAAGTATGACAGTAATGGTGTAAGAAAAAATATAATGAATATGTATATTTATGTACAGACAGTGAATTTAGTACATCCAAACTATTACATTACAAACTATTTTGTAATGGAACTAAAAATGTACATAAAATTGGAAATTGTTTAAAACTATTTACCATCTTGGAATACCCTTTCAACATTTAAACCATAAATAGCACATGTTTCATAGTAAGGACATCTTAGATCACATGCCAACTTTCTTGGTCTAACATCTTTTATAACTCTAGGATTAGAATCATTGATTGAATCTAAACAATGTCATAAATACAATTTAATATTAAGCAGATAAAGATGTATAATTAATAAGGAATTAATACATAAGAAATACTATTATAAGAGAAATGTTTAATTTTTACCTTGAACTCCTACAAGTATTTTTGGTACCTCTGACATATTTCGAAATGAACACATTCTATTATAAAAACTGCAAACTATAGAGAAACTTTCTTCACTCTCTAAACTAAATACAAGTAATAAAGCATCTATCCAAGAAGAAAACTGAAATAAGTGACATTTGTGTTACATGTTGTGTAAATGATATGAAAAACATGATTTTCAACATATGTATGATAAAAACATATATATCAATATAATAATTATATATTTTTTGTATACTTGTGATTCTGGTACTCCACCCTCATCTCTAATTAACAAGAGATAACTCTGATCATTGATAAAGACTTCCTTTTTAAAGCGACCACCTTCTGGAGATTCCTCATGCATAAATGAACCAGTTAAATATCTATGAACTAAAGCAGATTTTCCTGAATCAGGAGATCCAATAATTCCTAGATGTAATTCTGGAACATCTCTAGCTAATGTCCATTCATGACTATTAACAAATGAATCTATAACAAAATTTTTTGTCTCATAGATTCAAAGTTAATACTTCAAGTACTTATTTTGTAATGAAAAAAATATTTAAAAATGTTGGAATAAAAATATTCAATTTTTTAATAATAATTGCTTTATATGCCATACCTTCAATTGCAACAACATGTTCACGGATTTGTTTTGCAATGTGTGTATCAGATATAAGATCTATTAAGTCATAAATAGCATAAATCGATGGATGAACACTTTCGAAACGTTGTATTTCTTGTCGAATTGCAAGGGAATGATCGTGTCCACTTTGCTCAGTTGTCATTTTCTTAAAATTGTTTTAAATTACTTTTCGAAATCACATTACAGATACAGCCTTGAACTGTATTGTATTGGAGTAGTCAACGATTAAAATGTTTCCACATGATTTCAAGAACTGAAACTTATCTGTTATCATGTAACACATGTCAAATTCGGATATTTATCAACATTATCGGATGCGATAAATCAGGTTACTTAGCACTACTACATACAGTAACCCCGCCTTTTTGGAAACAAAAGCAGACTGTATTGTCAAATTACAAAAAAAAAATGGTTAAAATTAATATTTATAAATGAACAGTACAATACGAGAAGATTTGCAAAAAAATTCTACGGCGTTGAAATGCTCTTTTTACGTAGAACTTATATGAAACTTTATTACGTTCATGGTTTTATAGATCTGTCGCCCAAAAAGTGTACGAAGGCTTACATTGCCAACCAATAAATGTTAGGTTCCGCTTTTGAATGCAACTGAATGTAATTGCAGTCCAATGTAGTTTTATTTAGAAATAACTGTATAATATAACATTTATCGACGATAATTGTTATAAAATGTCATATTTGCGTAACTAATTGTAACAAAATATACTTTATAACAATATAAGACCAACTAAAATCTATCGGCATTGCAGACATAGGTGTAACTAGATAAGTCCTGTTTGTAGTTCAGCGCACGAATCAATTATCATGTCACTTATGACGCTTACTGTTCATTTCTTAAAATAATTCTTACAATTCAGATAAATTAAAAAAAAATACTATTCACATTGATTTTATCGTAAGCATATTTGCAATGACTAATGCACTAGTTGATGATATCTATGATGGATATAATGATTATCCATCAATATATAGTATTAAAGATCTTGAACAAGATGAATTGTTTCAAGAAGCTCTCAGTACAAGTTATGCAAAAAGATCAATTGTAAGTGTTAATAAATACATTTCTAATAGAAGTAAAAACAGTTGGAATTAATAATAAAATACTCTGAATTTTTAATTGTATAGTTCACACCAAGAGTGCCAGGAAGTGCTATGCGTTTAGGTACTTCAACTGGAGTAAGTAAATGAACATTGGTTTACACAAATTTATATTTTATAATATTGTAGTAATATGCAATTTTATTATTTTTAGTTTCATAGAAGTGGTACTGGTGTACCTATGCGTCCCACTACTAGTGGACTTAGACCAATGACTGCAGTCAGAGGTGCTGGTTACACTAGTAGCAGCCGACAACCATTTGACCCATTGAATATGAGTAGTTCTACTAAGGGGCCTGCACCACCTTTAGAAAGTGGAAAGGAAGACACGTGAGATCATAATGATTGATTAATGTTATTTAATATATGGCAAAATTTGAAAAAAAAAATTTTAATGCTTCTTTATAAAGGCCTGAAGAAAAAATTAAAGTGGCTGAAAAAAGAATTATGGAATTAATAGAAAGTTCAGTAGAAGCATCACATGAAAATAATATGAGAGTTGCT